CCAAAAGCAGAAAAGCAGAGGAGGCTGGTCTCAAAAGAAGGACAGAGCCACGGGCTTCACAGCAGGACCTTTTTGCTAGATTATCCGATAGAAAGCTTCGGCGAGTTTTATATCTTTTAGTATCGCTATAAAAGTGCCTTCATACCGCGACGGCAGCCGTCGCCAGCAGCCCGTAGCCGTAGCTGGCCGCTTTTGTCATAGAAGCGCAAAATCATCAAATTCTTGGTATTTCAAGCGCAAACGCCTGCGCTTTCCATCTTCCACGCTTTTTCCTCCCTGTTGCGGTTAATCTGCAGTTCCACTTTCACGCACTACAGAGTTACTCAAGATAAGCACCGGCCAAGGATATAATTGAAGCAGAACCATGCATATAAAATAAACACTAAAGAAAGCGGACGCATCCAAAGTTAGATGATCATACCGCAAGAAACTTTGGCGAAATAACTGCGAAAGGGAAACTGAGCACCAATAGGATAACCAATCTACGGCAACAAGATTCTAACAGCAATGGCCACAAGTACGATATACGAGATCGAATTGCAAAAACAAAATCGTACTTCTGCCTTAAAAAATCAAAAGGAGCAGAGGAGAATTGGTCTCGAAGGTAGGAAAGCTGCAGGAGCTTTATGCGGCAGTGCGTTTCTGTTGATAATTTCTCAATTTTAATGCTAAATTATACAAAAGCTCGTTGAAGTCCACTTTTAACCGCTTTTACTTCGCGGAAATCACATCTCTGCCTCTTATAACAAAGAAGCAAAGGGAGCTTGGTCTCGAAAGAAAGGTTCCAAGAGCTTCAAGCGGCAAACATTTCCCCTAAGAATTTCTCAGTTTCAGTGCTAAATTATACAAATCTCGCTTGAAATCCACTTTTGACCGCTTTTATTAGGTCTTAAAAAAATTTCCGGGCACTTGCAAAAATTTTTTTTCAAATTGCTGTAACTTCAAGCAGATTGATTCTTCTTTAAAGCTGCAAACTTCTTTGCAAAGACAATTTTGTTTACAACATATATTTATCTTGCTGGCTTTTCAGCGTCTCGCTGCGGTCCACCAGCATGCGCAGAAGGGAAAAAATCGACGCAAAAAGTAACCTATTTGCGCAGAATATCGCATGATGAGAGCTGGACAGCTCATATGCTGTAGTTATATAGAAGTCTGCCAGGGCTGTCTTGAGACTATTTACGCCTTTGAGCGACTATCTGCAAAATAAGTTTTTCCAGAAAGGTTAAGAAATCGGCCATTTTTAAAAATGCACCTTTCGAGTAAGCTTTTTTGAAATCTTCTCGTCTTCCACAGGAGACAGCAAATCTTTGATTATTGCGAAGATTGTTGGGCTAATGCCTTATACATCTTTTGGACCCAATGGCGATTCTCGCAGAAGCCATGCCTGCTGCGAAAATAGTTGCAGTCAGAGGCAAGTTTGACAGCTTGTAATTTCTGAGCGCAATCGCAAAACGAGTGCAGCTACGGGTCAGAAGCTAACAGTCTCCTCGATTGGATCACACACAATTTGGACGAAAACCTATGAACTTCACAAAAAATGGCCGCAGGAAGAAAAATTGTGAAATTGTCATGGTTAGAAAGCTTTCCTTTTTTGATGTGCAGATCATACATGCTTTGGTATCGATGAAAATTAGAAGCGGCTTCGAAAAGTCTAAGCTTCCTTCTACCGAACAGTATAAAAACTCGGTGTCAAATACCGACGGAGCGGCAAAAAAATGCATCAAAAAACGAAATCTCTAAAAGTGCCCGCACTCTTCCTTTACAAACTAATATTTCGCAGAAATTGTACCTATGCCTCCTATAACAAAGAAGCAAAGGAGAGCTTGATTTCGAGGGAAGGAAGGCCTAAGGGCTTCATGCGGCAGTGCATTTTTGCTAAGAACTTCTCAATTTCAATGCTAAACTGTACAACAGCTTTCTTGAAATCCAATTTGGCCGCTTTTACTTCGCAGAAATCATACCTCTGCCTCCTACAATAAAGAAGCAAAGCAAACTTGGACTTGAGACAAGGAAGGTCCCGAGGGCTTATGCGGCAAGATCAATGCTAACTTATCAAAAATATTGCTTGAAACCCATCTTGGCCGCTTTTTCTTCGCAGAAATCATACTTCTGCCCTCTTTAGCAAAAAAGGAAAGGAACTTGATCTCGTGGTCTCGGTCTATGAGGCAGGACATGTTTGCTAAGATTTTCCAAAAGAAAGCTTTGAGCGTACTTGATCTCGCTTCAAGAAATGACTTCGCGAGATATTATAAGGAGAGTGTAGGAATGTGCATGATCGCGAAGCTCGATGTGTTTGCGGCCGTCGCACATTCCTGAAAGTCAGTCTGAACTTCGGGTTAAATCAGCTTTTTGCATAGATGACTGCTTAGGCGATTTCCATTTTTAGGAGCTGGGGTTGGGTCCTTGCAAGAAGAACAGGGTATATGATTTGGTAGTTAGCCGCTGTAAAAAGTTTGCTTGAGCCTGATCTTGCTTCTATTACTACTTGCATTGCGAAAAAAATCGTTGAAAAAATAAGAATTCATTCTCTTGCTATTCTTAGTTGCAGACAGTTATCAATGTATCTGCCCCAACCCACTTACTAGCGACCCGTAGGGTCGCTAGTGTTAATAAAGGCTGCTGCATGACGAAGGCGCAATATCTTTGTGCGCGAACGCGGTTTCATTAGCCGCGGAGCGCATGAGGCGCAGGATTTACAACGGTTAAGATGCGCGCCGCAGCGTTCGCGACCGTTTAACTTATCCGTCTCTTGCGCCTTCGTCATGCAGCAGCCTTTATGTCTGTTAGGCTTTCCGGAAATCAATGCAGTTTTCGCAATTCCTCATTTCAAAGTGTCATAACTCCTTCGAAATTGCATATTTTGCAATGAGGTAAGAACTACCGTGTTCAGCAAGGTATACAGGGCTTACCAAACGCAGTGTCGCTTGTATCAGCATCTCCACTCCCGCACTGGACTCTGCGTCTCTCCCACGAACATGCTTTCTAGTCACTTCCAATCGATTGAGGCTCCACCTTTCCCACGCTCATCATGGGAAAGTGGTCAGTGAGCATGTTCGCGGAAGAGATGCAGAGTCCAGCGCGGCAACGGAGATGCTGATGCAAGCGACTGCGTTTGATAAGCCCTGTATTGCTTAAGTGAGCAACTGAAGGGAAAAGCAGGCTTCGGTGGGTAGATCCCTTTATGAAAAAATTGGTGTCCTACTGAGATGGGCTGGAAAATGAGTGGATTGGTGCTCTGGATGAATTTCCATGGGTGTATGACAGTCTGGAAACCTCTGTAAAACGCGAAAGAGGGGGGGGGGTGGTTGGCCACAAAATTTTCCGTAGTGGAGAAGGAATTGTGCGTGCTTTCAAAAAGAATACTTTCAGAAGAGGAAGTGAAGAGGAAGAGACAGGGCTGGGAGAACTATGTCGAATGGGCTACCGTCATCTCGGCCGGAGGGACTTTCAAATGTAGAAGTTTGAGAGCATCCAAGGATTTTCGCAAAACGTCGGAGGAGTGGAAAACTTTGGCAGGTACAGGCTTAGTTGCAATCAGCTAAAACCGTGGGTTGGGAACACGCGCTGCAAGAAGGGAAGAAGTCTCAACACGACCATCTGCAGCAAACCGCTGTGCTGTACCATGGCGTTGCGGAGTGGTCATCTGAATTTTCGTGTGTCCAGTTTGGGTTAGGTATAGACGTGTAAGTGGCGCATCTTGAATACAACAGCCTCGATGCAAGGTTTGAAGGCTATTGAGTGAGATTTCAGAAGATTGAGAACGCGAGAAAGATTAGTAGATTACAAAGCTTCATATAGAATCTTTTTTCTGAGAACAGTTGAGGGGAGGGGGAGGGAGAAGCAGGGCAATTTAGCTAAAAAAAGGGCAACGCAAGTTTTTAAAACGCAAAAATGTACAGAATCATGTAGTAGAGCGCAGCAGTAAACAACGGTGCTGATAGAAGAAGTTGGGAAGGAACAGTTGAGCTTTTATTGGGACTTTTGCTAAGAAAACTTTGGAAGTTTCTAGCAGGGAAGATAGACCATTGACTTCGACAGCTTCTTAGTTTGTCATGAGTCTAATAAACTCGCCAAATTTGAGGAGAAAAGTTTGCCACAGAACTTTGAAAGGTCTAAACAGGGAAGGATACTTTGTGACCCCGGCCATTCATAATGGTTCGTATATCAAAAATTGTGCCTTCTAATGCTGGTTCAAATACTATATTCCATATCTGCGAAACCAGAGCCTGGATGGAGTTATGATTATTCTTTCAAAAGTGAATTGCGTTACTGCGGAGGGTGAAATTCATTGATAAAAAAAATTTCTTTCCTCTTTAAATGCTGAATATGGTTTAGACAGGTATAAATACAACGTTACACCTTTCAAGATTCCCCTCAATAGCTTCAAACGGTAAAATAGATCAAAATTGGGTGATTTTATCTACCTGAAAGTATGCAATTTTCCTATGAAAAAAGTTCATAACCGCCTTCAAATGATCGTTTCGCAGATTTCGAGCACAGATTTAGAATCAGCATTTCGAGTGTACCTTACATCGCATTCCACATGGCCGGCGTCACCAAGTATCCTTGTAAGTTTTAGTCACTTATCCCGCTTCGAGGCGCTTTGGACTGGTACGATATATTTTATAGCACTTGTCGCCGTGTTGGATTGTTGTTGCTTGTAAAGAAGCTAAGGGAAGCTTTCTTTTGGAGGAAAAATTGGGATTTAAGACATCCTTTAAAGTAATTATGTGAATGTATAACTCTTACACCATCACTCGCTATAAAATTACACACAAGTAATTTTGTGTTCATTGCGGAGGTTCCCCTTATAAAACACTCTTCTTTCAATGAGGCTTGGGAAGTCGTAGTTGGAACGCTTTTCAACGAGATTTGTAAGCAGTGGAAAGAGCAAAAGGAAAACGCTTTTACATGGATTCAACTGTTTTGAGTCAAACCTCTCAAAAGATAGCCACTTTGAACGCAAAGCAACTGAAAATCGGACAGAACTTTTTAACAATCCAGTACATAAGCTACAAGCACATCAGCAGAAACCACAAAAAGCTTCAAATTTTTCGAAACCATGAATTTGCACATCATTGCTGCATTCTTCAGGTCGTCCAACCCTGTTTCAGTAGGAGGAGACTTCGTGTCCGTGGGAGATTATGATCCAAGTAAGCACCATTCCCTTTGATTTGATCTGCTTGAAATGTAGATGAAATTAGCTGAATTACTGTAACTTTGCTAAGGTACTGCTTTGTGCGATTCGCCAGTCCTATCCGACGCGCAGATTCGTCGCCTTTCCAGCTGCGCAATGGATTTATTGTATGTTGTAATCTTAGTACCCAAGCGTGGACGTTGACTCACTTCCGAATGGAATTAAAAATGTTTCTGGCGCGTCCGCCACAAAGCTGTTCGACAAACGGTATCAGCTACATCAGTTTGGAATAGCTACAAACGGTATCAGTTACATCAGTCTGGAATATTTAGCTATCTGTTCTTTCGCTGCGCAAGATGGCTTCAGCGCTTACCCTTTAATATTGTGTCAGCGCGTGGCGGTGAAGCTTTCAAGAAAAAATTGAAAAAAGCTGATTTGTCCCAACTTTTGATCAGTCATACTTCTTTTTGATTGCGTTGCATTTCCAATATGTTGTGTTCAGGTTTTTCAGGGTTTAGTCTTTAGAGTTTATGGTTGTTATGGCTCTCATACGCTTGGTTCTAAGGCTTGATTTTCTATGAGCTTTGTTTTTTTTCTCTTTTTGCTTATATTTTACTAGCTGGCGTACCCGGCTTCGCACGGGGCCAAACTTTGCACACATACACTTCGGGGCAGGGAGCGTGTCATACTCCACTTTTCGTTATCGATCGATGTCGATTTTACCGATTTTTATCGATTTTTTTGCAGAGTTCACCTACAGGGCTAGGAGTTGGCACAGGGGGGGGAAGTGAGCATGGGGATTCCGAATACAATATTAGTTTTCAGAATTATCGATTACTTTTATTGATTTTATCGATTTTTTGTAAATTTTGACATGCGAGGCTGGGATTTTGCACAGGGGGAATCGAGCATGCTGATTACGAACACAATATTAGTTTTCAGGATCGTCCATTACTTTTATCGATTTTATCGATTTTTTTTGTAAAGTTTGACCTGCGGGGCTGGGAGTTTGCACAGGGGGGTAATCGAGCATGCAGATTACGAATACAATATTAGTTTTCAGGATCGTCCATTACTTTTATCGAATTTATCGATTTTTTGAAAATTTGAGCTAGGGGGCTGGAATTTGGCACAGGGGTGTAATCGAGCATGCTGATCACCCCCCTTGGGGGTGATCAGCATGCTCGATTACCCCCCCCCTGTGCCAACTCCCAGCCCCCTAGCTCAAACTTTGCAAAAAAATCGATAAAATCGATAAAAGTAATCGATAATCCCGAAAACCAATATTGTATTCGGAATCCCCATGCTCGATTACCCCCCTGTGCGAACTCCCAGCCCCGTAGCTCAAACTTTGCAAAAAAATCGATAAAATCGATAAAAGTAATCGATAATCCTGAAAACCAATATTGTATTCGGAATCCCCATGCTCGATTACCCCCCTGTGCCAACTCCCAGCCCCGTAGCTCAAACTTTGCAAAAAAATCGATAAAATCGATAAAAGTAATCGATAATCCTGAAAACCAATATTGTATTCGGAATCCCCATGCTCGATTACCCCCCTGTGCCAACTCCCAGCCCCGTAGCTCAAACTTTGCAAAAAATCGATAAAATCGATAAAAGTAATCGATAATCCTGAAAACCAATATTGTATTCGGAATCCCCATGCTCGATTACCCCCCTGTGCCAACTCCCGGCCCCGTAGGTGAACTCAGCAAAAAAATCGATAAAAATCGATAAAATCGATATCGATCGATAACGAAAAGTAGCCTATGACACGCTCCCTGCCCCAAAGTATATGTGTGCCAAGTTTGGTCCCGATCGGTTCAGAAATAAAAATTTCTATTCCGCACATACGTACAGACATACATACAGACAGACATACAGACAGACATACAGACAGACATTCAGCTTTATATATAAGATTTTTCATCTTTCAGCATCCCTCTTTCTATATTCTCGCTTTTGTCCATGTGCTTCATTATTTCTTTTGTTTGACGGTTCTGTGGCACGCGACTCCGCCTGTCTCAGTTGGTGTTTACTCTGGGCTAATTGTGGTCGAGGGAATGCGAAGAGTGAATGTTTTGTTGGATTTTAGTTTATGTGGATCAGATTCCACCATTTCATTGGACCTTGATTCACATCATTGTCATTCGTTGTTGGCTTTTTTGAACAAATTTATACCTCACACGTTAGTTTGGGTCTGGTTCGATCTTATCACTTCCGTTGATGCTTGAGCTTGTTTGAGCTTGAAACTTTTGCATTGTGCAATTCTCTTCTGGAGTTCTTTTCTTCCCCAAAGCTTGATTGAGCGTGTTTTACCAATATTACTACCAATGCACCTGCTTCCAACATATACAGTTGCTTATGTTTGAATAAGAGCATTTTTGCTACGAGCAGGGGGCATGAGACAGACTCCATCAAACCTCTATACCTGTGATGACTTCATATTCGCCTAAACAAGCTCACTCCCTTTCTATTTCCAGGAAAGATTTTGCGTGCTGGACTTGAGCTGATTCAGTAGGGTGTTTGCTTGTTATTGTTCTTTTTTGTTGCTAGTTGTTTAGTGTAATGCTTCGTTTCTGTGTTGAACGGGCATGCCTTGTGCGTATCAAATAAATAAAGAAGAGCGATTATGCGGAATGCTCATGGTACTCAATTTATTATTTTTAGAGAACTATACTTGTGAGCGCATAATTTGCACTGATTTAAGATAAGCATAGAATGTGCGCATATATCTCTTGCGACTGATATAGTTGGTAACCAAAGAAAGGTACACATGAATACGTCGACTATAAGCTGGAGGTATAAATGGAAAAAAACTTCACTCAACACACAGTACCTTTTCCCAATTTAGACACTCAGCCGTGCAACTGTAGCGACATTTCATTAAGTCATTCAGAACTTCTGCGCCAACTGCCAGTGGAAGCAATAGCAGATTCAACATTGCGTGACTCGTGAAGAACTGGAATCCATAGAAATTTTTGATCGGAATTCCGCATGAGGTGTGAGGAGAGGTTGCATAAAAGGTGACCAAAGCAGCATTAAGAATTACAAGACTATTATTCAACTTGAGGATGCATGCACACTAAACCACTAAAAGTTTTAAGTACTCAGACAATCGCCGGGGGCAGGCGGGCACCGGAAAAATAGATTGCTGATCTCTCGCACCCCGCTCGCGGATTTTTTGGAAAGCAATTAGGACTTTTCGGAAGACCGCTTGCTGAGTTCTCGATTCCTCAGAGATTCAGCAATATATCTGCAAAAGATAACAGCGAAAAAAAATTCAACAGGCAGTCTCTCAAAAATCCGCTGACTCGGCAAGCGGTCTTCCGAAAAGTCCTGATTGCTTTGCAAAAAATCCGCGAGCGGGGTGCGAGAAATCAGCAATCTATTTTTCCGGTGCCCGCCTGCCCCCAGCGATTGTCTGAGTATTAGCGGGCGGCCTGCAGAGATTTTCTGAGCTGCACACATTCCAAGAATGTATTGAGTAATCAACAAAAATGTAAGAGATCAAATTTTTATGACACATGATCCTCCTCAATGTTTCCGAGACAGCCAAGAAACAGCAAAATTTGAGATGGATCGGAAAGGAAAGAGCTCACATGTGTTTTCCTCTTTTTGTAAAGACAGGGTTTTAAAATTAATGTGAAAAGTAACTAAGCGACGACAGCCGTTCCGGCAACTCTTAATCAGTCCCTACTTATTGACAAGTCTAACAGTCTAATCAATTTTCTGCGCATGACACAGCAAACACACCTGAACGGGTTTTAGATAGAATATTCAATACAACGAATTTCTATTCACGCCATTGGTCTTCCAAAACGAGAACTTTGAGCAACCATCCTGACCTTTCATGAAATTAGTCATATCCTATGAAACTCGTCAATGCTGTCCCACTTTTGTAATCGACACTTTGGTAAATTAATACTCGATGGACGTAATGCGGATACTATTATGCAGAAATACTGAAAAAACTTTAGCTTCCTGCATGAATTGCTGAATTGTCGACTTGCACAACACTATCTACCTTTAGTTTAGTGAAACACACATTTTACAAAGTAGCTAAAATGGATAAGAATAACCTGCAATTCAAACCCTGTGAAAGTTGTAAAGGCGCGCGCTTTAACACAAGAAAAACTGGTAGATTGCAAGAGTGGTTTAACATTACATGTGACTCAGTCGCTTTAACCGTGACGTCACGGTGACTTCACAAGCAGGCGAATGGGACCCCTTCCTGGGACGCGCAAATCTCTGCTCCGGAGGTGCGCCAGATTTGAGGGAGCCCCGCAGCACCAAAAGGGGTGAAGTGGCAGGGCTTCGGAGCGCTCCACAGCGCGAAGTGGCAGACTCGCGCCATTTGCCCGCCGGAGGTATCCCTTCGACTGTCTGAGTTAATGAGATACTTACAAGGGAGGATACTTGGTCGAAATGCAGTTTCCATATGAGATTTCTACCTTCTTATACATCATGGAACGATGATTCCAAATCTGCTTTCGGCATTTGCAAAGCGCTCCTAAGAGGGGTATCATGAGAATTTCTCGAGGCAAAAATTTAAGGTTTTGGCTAAGATAAAAACAATTATTGAGGTTTTTCCGGCACTTGAATAGAGTAAAGATTAGCACAAGTTTATTAGACTGAAGATATTAAATGCATGAAGCGCCCTGTTAGCAACAATGGCCGCATTTCAGCTTACAGACTAAAAGTTCCAAATATTTTATTGTAGCTGCCCGTTAATTCTTGCTTCAAAAAACCCCCGTAACTCTCCTTCCGAGGCGCTTTGCACGGAACGAAAGCAAATTCGGAATCAGCGTTCCTTCACTATATGATATACGTTTCCCATAGAAACGCCCGACCATGTATTCTCAAATTGTTGGATGGTCCGTCTTCACGATGCGTGCAGGCCTCAGCACAAAAGCTTTCATTTGTCCTTGTCCCTCGCTTCAGACATCCACGATCTTCTTCTTTGCCGTCGGTGGCTGCGTCCACGAGTTCCAGGTGCGATAATCGTATCCAGCTGATTTCTCAGCTGGTCCATTCACGTTCCACAAACACGTCTGCCCATCTCGTTAGCGGACTTCCTCCGGAACGTTTGGCTTCGCGAGAAATACACTCACATGTTCTTAGTGTCCATCTGTCATCTGTTTTCTTCCCATGGCGTGACCGGCCCATCGGTATTTCGCTTTCGCAACGTATTCCGCTGGGTTACGAAGCACAGCACGTCCACAGCGAAGTCCACATATACCTGTAGCTACAACAAGCGAACTACTGGAAACCAGAAAATAAGAAGAGTTCGATAGTTATATAGTTTTTCCAACAAGGTCATCTTTGGCAAATTGTATATTCCTATCGAATATGAGTGTTCAGCGAGAAATTTCTACAGCTTATGCCACAAACTAGTACTACATATATAGCAGTATGCAGAAAAATTTTCAAAGATTTTTTTTCTGCGAAGCTAAAGATTGCAATCAAAATTTTCCACTTCCAATATTTTCTATGGCTGCGATCTCCAGGAATTTCGAACTTTCTTACAGTATGCAAGATTGGTCGCAAGATGCTCATATAAAGGAGAACGATTCTTTTGAAAATGCATTTGCGAAAACCTGCATTGATTCCCGGACAACCTAATACATGCCGAAAAACGCACAGAAGTTCTTTCATTACGAAATCTTCCAGCTTTAAAAATGAATCTCTAGAGACGGCTTTAAGGAAATCCTCATGAGTGTTTTCTCGCACTTTGCAGAATCCCATTGCAAATTGGCAGAAATGTCAAATGAATTTAGGCAGTGTTCAGGCAAAACTAAGTACATGAATTTATAATGGGAATAGACTGGAGAATGTAGGTCATGGTCCAAGCGGCCTTAAATGGCTCATTGACCGACAACTTCAACTTCTTTTAGCCCAATTCCGTGCTCAATTTGAAATGGTAGGAAAGAGTACGGCCTAGATGGGACTCTAAGGTCTAAGACATACATCCAGCGATCATCGTTAATGTCGTTACAATTTTTGATAGCTGCGACTAGACTGCCTGGGCGACCGCTCAATGAGTGAAAATCGCTCATCGCTTGTTTACCGGCCATACCCGAAGTGATTTCGTTGACGCTCACGCACCACACCGCATTATACGCACTTTTGAAAACTTTGCGCTAAATTGTCTGATGCATTTACTCGAGGAAATTCGATCAGAATTGGAGCCGTATGCTTTCAGAGAACATTACATCACGAGGAAAGGTATGGAATCACACTCATCCTAGTATTTACCAACGTTTTTCTACCGGCGCAAGTTACCATCTGCAATGAAATCGGCTACTATCTCATGAACTTTTGTTTTCTCTTCAACCATTGGTAGGCATAGATGTGATAGGTGGAGAAATTTCTCTGACCCCCTTCACTTTAGGGCCGCCATCTGGCTGACCCCTTCAACCTGAGGTTGGCTAGAATCAAGGCATAACGACAGAATCAGACAGTTGTTACAATGACACTTTTTGTTTAGAAAATAAATGCCAGCTGCTCTTCTTCTCAGACATCAAGACTGCAAGAGATTATCGAGTCAACAGCGTTTTGTTGAAAAAACGCATGCTCGAGACCTCTTGCGCACTCAAGTGGCGTTGTTAACTAAACATAATCAAAATTAAAAAATTAACATTGCATCAATGAATATACATTGTCTCAAGAAAAGTTAAGCAAGAGTAGAAAATTTGGACTAGTCACTAATGTGAATGATGCATGTTTGACTAGAGAGAATAAAAACAGTTAAAAAAGCAGTTAGATTACTCGTTTCTCAGGCTTTCGGATCATATATAAAAGTTCGAAAAAGACCTTTTTTTGAAAAGATAATTACCCAGAAATGGCTGATATTGTAGCTAGACAAAACTTCTCTTATCTCGCTTCACAGAAAAGCCAGGAAAAAAAGACGGTCTCTATGCCGATTTCTCGTGTTCTTAGCTATCGAAGGGTATATAAAGCGTTGGTGGACAAAGCTTTCCCAGTCCAAAAAAGTCTTGCTCCGGCGTCCCATAGAAAGCCGGAGCGGGGTGGAGGAAGTTGGTATTGAATATCTCCACCTCATTTTTGAAAAGCCACATGTTTCTTCACTCAACAACCTATATATCATCAGAAATCCCACGATAAAGGTCCTCATTTCAGTGTGAGCGCTGCCAGGCTTTGAAGGCTTCTTTCTTCTCCTTGATCACTTGCTGGACTGACTCAGAACACCACCAGATCTGCTTGTCTACAAACCGGCGTCCTGGCTTGGTGGTTCCCAAGATTGTCTCGGCCCTCGATCGTATCTGCGAAGTAATCCGATTCCACTGCTCTTCAATCGACTCCTTATCATCCGTCGACACCCTAAAATCGTTAAAAGCATCTCTGACTTGTTGGTGATGTTCGGTGAGCTTCCACCATTTGATCCTCTTTGTAGTCGTCCTTCCGGCTCGTGAACGTAAGTGGATGTTCAGTCGAAGATCCAATACGAGCAACCGGTGTTGTGGCGCAAATGCATGTGTCGCCGTGGGTATAACCTTCGCGTTCATCACCATCGGCAATTGACATCGGCGCAGCATCCAGTAGTCGATCTGAGTTGAGCGGTCTCCACTCGCGCACGTGATCAAATGTGACTCCCGCTTCTTGAAAAATGTGTTCGCTATAGCCAAGTCATGTGCTTCTGCGGCTTCCAGAATGCGTTCTCCCCTCATTCCTCTGACCGTATCCATTTCCACCATGGTATCACTTGAATCCATCGTGTTCGTAGCCAACGTGCCCATTAAGATCGCCTCCTACGAAGATGTAGTCTGCGACGTCAAATGTCCTTAGCAGGATGTCGAAGTCCCTCCAAAACACGTCCTTCTCGGCTCCGGTACATGCGGATTGCCATAACACGAGACTATTTAAAGCGTGGCATCATCTGCATCGATTTTCATCGCCATCAATCTATCTGAAATGCGCGTCACCTCGGTCACTAATTCGC